AAGCAACGAATTTAAATTCGAAAAATTACTTGTGTTTTCCAAGTTCGTTTTAATAAAGTACCTCATTTCCTCCGTAAAACGCAATTTCCTCAGAATGAGCAATAATACGTGAATGCAGGAAACGAAGGTGACCTTTGCGCTTTGCTTCTTCTGAAACCATTTCACCGAACCTGCAGACAAGCCAAATGGACTAACATGACCGCACATCCAGAAAAACTAGCTTACGCATAGGCTTACCTCATATATCGAGTTTTACAGAAATTTTAGCGAAGTAAGAATGGCTGAAATGCTTACTTAGGCGATATTTGTTTCAGCAGCCCAGCGGTGCCCAGCAAAACAGCAAAACCCATTGTAAGAGGCAACATTGTGCGGGCGCCACTTCCTTTTTTTCGGGATTTATATATCAACGTCAACCTGCATTCAGTCCAAACATTAGATGCATCAACAAAATTCGTTTTTTTTCTGTTAAAGTCAGAAATTTGCACTTATTTGATTTGTTTGGGATAACTGAATGACCACTGAAAGGAACTGATCACAGCATGAAAGAACTGGCCGCAGTAAATTCTTGACTCAAAAACTTTTGTCTCAGAGCCATTAGTTATTTCAAATGCAGACCCAATAAACGCGATATCAAAAAGAGGTTTCGCAATGAGTGAATAGAGGCGAGCAGACGTTTGGCAAAACATGGCGATATCATCGGTCAAGCACTGGTCAACGTTCTTCAAGCGTCCATCCAGGTTGCTCACTTGATAAAATGTACAGTTCTGCAAGCAACGCTCGCATAACTCATTCGCCCATTACAATTCTATTTCACTAACTGCTCCAATGTATTTCTTGCAAGTACTGCTGCAAAAAAGCGAGCAGTGGCAGGAATTTCACCAAAGAGGAGCTGCGAACGTCGTAAGTGCATATCGAAAAATAGCCCTTATTGACTGAGCAGTACATTACTAATAACAGTTATTATTAAATTGATAATAATGATAATGTTAATAATAATAGCTCGAGATAAAAAATTTCTTGCCAGAACTTTTATGCATCCGCATGTAAGATGTACAGAGAAGCTAGATTTAGATTTTTGTTGAACACGGACACGAACTATCTTTGTAAAATCCCAAATTTCTAGCCTGTTCGGTTTCCGAATCCATTGGGCCAGAACGCCACTGCAGTTTGAATTTTCAAGCGCCCGTACGCGAGACCTAGGCAAAGGTAAAAGCTGAATTCAAATTTCAACGATCGCAACTGGATAGTGAACATTCACCTAAAGTCTCAATCTCCTAATTTTCTTTGTTGCTAAGTTGAAAACCTTTGGTAAAAATTCGAATAGGATCTCGACAGTACGTGTTTTGTAGTGTTACTGTAGAGTAAAACTCACAGCAAGAGATAGGTAAAAAGGAACGGCAAATTCACAAGACGCTCCCTTTGACAAAGGAAGAGACCGAATTTCCAAGCGAAAACTTCAACCGAATTTTTTGATGGGCCCTGTTCTTCCACTGGAAGTTCT